CGATCGATATTGATTAAACTCATTCATTATTTTTTAACTCCAATTTAAACTTGATGTATGTCCGAAATTGTAAACATTTTTTTTTAAATTTAATATTACTACTACCACGACGCTCTCTCCTCTAATTGTAATTAAACAATTATAATATGATTTAGTCGAATATGTGGTGTTTTTTGTAACTAAGGAATTGCAGGCAAAATCCTAGATTAGTTTTGAGATTTTCAAAACATTTATAAATTCTTGCCGATATAGAAATTCCCGCCGTTGGGACTAAGAGAAGCAGTCCTTTATGCTGAAGCATTGGGACTAAGAGAAGGACCTTACTTTCACGATGGTAGGAGGACCTTACTTTGACGTAAAACTTGGTCGTAAAGATGGACTCGAATCCAAAGCTCATAAAGTCCGAGGAAACGTCCCGATGGTGAACCAGACTGTCCACGACATCCACGGGATATTCAAGGTTTTATAAATTCTAGTTGCTGAAGCATTGGGACTAAGAGAAGCAGTCCTTTATGCTGCGGAAAAAGGTTTCAAAAACATGAGATTCGAGTCCGACTCATCTCAACTTGTTAACGCCATTAACTTAGACTCCTCTCTTTTGGAGCTCTACGGCATTATTGAAGACATCAAAGCTGTGGCTCAAGGCTTTGAATCTGTCTCTTTCCTTTGTATTAACCGAAAACTAAATGTAAAGGCTGACAACCTAGCAAAACAAGCTCTTAGCTTGATGTACGCAACGTCAGGATGATATCGAAAACTATCCTTTTGATCAAAACAAAAAAAATAGAAATTCCTGCCGTTAAAACCATTTATATGTATTCGATCGAACACATCATTCACGTTAAGATTGTAGTAAAAAAAAATTGAAACAAGGTCCATGACTCTTCGACTATTAAACCACTATAATTAAATTAGTTCAAATATATGATCTGAGATTATATATTAGCTTTTTCGTTTATATAATAATGTTTGTATGAGTATACGAGGAAAACTTCCAACCATTGTATAATATTAAACTTGAAGTTATTATGTTTTACCAAAAGATGTGGTGGTCTAATGGTACTGGTAACACAAAGAAGTTGGTTTTTTTGTGGCTCCTGTTCAAACTCATTTTGATACAGATAATTATTTTTTAAATCGGAATATCCAAAGACTACTTCCAAATACCGAAGATATTATGAACAAGGTTCGGAACTTCCACGAATTATAAAAAAAATTATTATATTTTGTTTACAAGTTATACATGCACACTTCCAAATTTAAATTTGAACTATTGCAACACGACAATAATGTACTAATTATATTGATAACCAAGTACAGTGTTTTTTTTTATCCATTTCAACTATTTAACCCGTTTGAAATATAATTTTCAAGAGATGGCATCTAGCTAGCTAGAAACCGAGTAACTTGTCTAGGTTTATTTGAATTTCCCGAAACATAGAAAAACGAAAGAACGTTGAAGCCATCTCTTTTGTCGCTTTAAGATTTATTCGGTGTAAATTTGCAGTCATGGACTCTCGGCCGAATCAATTGCTGAAACACTCCGGTTCGGAAGATTTTTTTTATTATTTTTGTTTATAAACGAAAAGGCAGTAAATGACCAAAACACCAGCGACCCAAACACGGGATCCACCCGATTTTAAGTCCGTAGGATCTATATCCGGATAAAAACGAAATTGAAATAAAGTTGGGGTAAATCCGAAACCCTACCACTTTGGTTTCGTGAAACGATTCTCATCCTTCTCCTCCATTTCAGTTCAGAGTCGTTACAAGTAGAAATTTAGAATTTGCGAGTGAAAGAATCGTGAGCAATGGTGAAAATAAGCCATGGTAAGCCGCCGCCGCCGAGGAAGAGAAATGGGAAGAAGGAGAAGGATGCTCCTCCGTCGGACCCAGTTCTGCCGGAAGTCGAAGAACAAGTAACGAAGGAAGCGGGTCAGGATGAATCGGGGAATGTAGAAGAAAAGGTAGTAGGAGATGGAGGTTCGGAAAATCGAGAGGAAGAGAAAGTCGAAGATGGTGTTGAGGAAAAAAAAGATGGCAGATGGTGACCATGTGCCGGTAGTCGATGAACAAGCAACGGAGGAAGTGAATCGGGATGAATCGGGGAATGTAGAAGAAAGAGTAGTAGGAGATGGAGGTTCGGAAAATCGAGAGGAAGAGAAAGTCGAAGATGGTGTCGAGGAAGAAGAAGATTGTGACGATGTGGAGGAAGAAGAAGATGGTGAAGATGGTGAAGATGTCGAGGAAGAAGAAGATGGTGAAGACGTCGAGGAAGAAGACAATGATGGGGATGAAGTCGATGACGAAGAAGATGGCAAAGATTCAACCGATGGTGATGATGAGGAGGAAGAAGAGGAAGATGGCGATGATGAAGATGAAGATGAAGAAGAAGAAGATGCGCAAGATGCCATGGTAAGTACATCTAGAATTAATGAATTTTGAGAAAACAATATGAATGTGTGAAGTAGAAAGTAATACTCGGTTATACTGTATATTTGGTAGTAGAAAGTAAAACTCGGTTATACTGTACATTTGGTTCTAGGTTAGCGAGGACGAAAGCG